AAGCGGAGCGCGCGCGCGGTGGAATCGATGCCGTGGAGTATTGGACCTTCTGGAAGCCCCCATCGGGCCCGAGAGAGAGGAGTAACGTCGAATGATCTCCTGCTGCGCCGCCGTTGCGCCGGCGATGCTTCGATGCTTCGGCGACGTCGGGATGGGGGCGGATGGGGGGGGGGGGCATGGGCCAGCGCGCATAGGTGATGCATCGATGCCGTCAGCCGACGTGAGATAACGAGGTCGTTAGTCGATCGCTGCCGCGATCCCCAGACTCTAGACTCTAGACCCCCAGACCCACTCACTCTGAGACTCAGACCTCCTCTCTCTGGGGGTTGCTGGTGGCATCTGCCATGACATCCGTAATGTATCCGTTGCGCATATGGTGGGACCCAACACCGCCGCCAGTCGTCGACCCAGGCGAAACTCCGGCGTTGCTATATTGCCAGATGTCCGACATGGCCACGCAGAATATGCTCACATATTTATCCTTGGGTGAGGACGCGAAGGGGCGAAGGGGAGGGGGCAGGCGGGCGGCGGGAGGGGGAGGAGGATGGGCGGGAAGAGGAGGATGACGGGGAGGAGGAGGAGGAGGGTGACCGTGAATGGCGAGCGGGTGGGCATTTGATAGATATCAGAACCCATGGGCCCCATGGGCGGCTTCTGTCAACAAGGCCCAGGGGCCCAGATTCGGCCCCGTCAAATCTGGTGGGAAAACGCACGCCCCCCTCCTCGTTGCCGGACGTTGCTGGACTTCATTGCGGTGTTCATCGGGCCCATGCAGTACAGGATTCTGTTGAACTTACCCGATGAGGACCCGCCCGCCCCTCCCTCCCGTTCGACCACAGAGGCCCTTTCACTCACGTCTCTCCTCCGTTTCACCACTAGGACCTGATCCATATGCTGAGGGCCGACAAGTACTGGGGGATATATTGCACGGAAGTCAGGGAGTGCATCTTGTTGTGCCCTCGGGCCCTGCTCCTGGTCCTCCTCGTTCTCGTCTTCCTCCTCCCCGATGCGTCATCCTGGGTCCTGGGTACGGGCCATCGTGGACCCCCCCGAAGAGGTGGTTTTGAGCGGTGGCGCGGGCCCGAGTTAGGACGCGGAAGCGCGTTCGAACCGTTCGATCCAGACTTGACGTGACGGTCGCGGCGCGCGCAAAATTGCCGAGGGCATTGGCTGTCCGTCGTCATCGTCGTCGTCTCGTCGTGGTCATCGTCGTCGTCGTCGTCAGAGTCATCGTCCGTCAGTCGTCATCGTCGTCGTCGTCGTCGTCCGTCGTCATCGTCGTCGTCGTCGTCGTCGTCGTCACCGCCGTCGAGCAGCTTACTACGGGCTAACGGCGGCCACTCCGATACTCATGCGGTGCCGCCTCACGCCTGAACTTGATTTTCACCGTGAAAGACACCTCCCCCGCAGGTCCGCCGCCCGCATGCGCCCCACACACACCACACCCAATTCGGCACACCCCTCACACGTTTCGTGGCCGCCGTGGCCCCATAGGGAGCTCCACCGAAGGCCCGAGTGCCGCCGCCCGCATGCGTCCCCCACGCTCAATTTGGCACACCCCTCACACGTATCGAGGCCCATAGGCCCATAGGGAGCTCCACCGAAGGCCCCAGTGCCGCCGCCCAGACGAACGAGGATGTCGGGCAACATACACAGCAGCTACACAGCAGGAACTCCAGCATGGCGCATGGCATGGCCCCGAGGAGCACGTTTTTCGTAATGTTTTTTTGCCCCGCCTCCGCCCCCCAAACCACAGGCCTCCATGAACGCGCGGGTGATGAGCCACCCCGATGATAACGCGTTCAAGTGGCAGAATGATGAGAAGAAGGCCTTGCAGAGCATGGGTTTTCAGTTTAACCCTCGCCCGTGGACTTGCCGGGCAGGGGTCAGTTCGCGGGGATTGTCAGGGACGTTTCGTGAACGATCCATCATTGATATTTGCTGGCTCAGAGCGGCTAAAAGAACAGGAAAGCATTACCTTGATGAGACGATCCGTGCAGGTTTATTTTGCGACCCATCTCAGACTTTGCAGCGCGCTGGCGATGTTGGTCTTCGGACGCAGTGCCAGAAGTCAACAAAGTATTCTTACGAACTTGACAGAGTGTTGCTTGCAGGGGACCAGCTCGGCCTGATGGGATTTCCCACCTCGGGGCTAGACGGTCTGCCTAGCGAGCGCCAGCGTCTCGGTTTCGTTGGTGAATGTGTAAGCCCACCGTGCTTGGCCACAGCGATTTGCTGCATGCTTCTTTTACCGAATGCCGATGGGCTGTTCGAGCAGCCACCGTGTGAGGACATTCCAGCAGACACGAAGTCCTGACTTTTCGGCCTTACTGGCTTCGCGTCGGAGTGAACGGTTTGATTGGTTTGCGCCAGCGTGTCAACTTTCCTAGGAGTGAACATTTCCTTCGGCGCTTCGGCACTGTCCATCGTTGGAGGCGGGGCGGTTGCGCCGAGGCTCGCCCTTTAGGCTTTGAGGCGATGAGGGGGATGGATGGAGGAACGACTTTCAGAACTGAGAGCAACTTGCATACCTTGAGATTCCACCCCCTACAACACACTAACACACTATCCAACTAACTAGCCCACACTCTACCTGCTGTTCACCAACCCCAGGGCCTCAGGGCCCCAGGCCGGGGGAGGGTCCTCGGGCAAGAGGGAGAGGGGCACAAGTTGTGGTGGAGATGCGATGAGGATGAGGAGGATTGAGAAGGAGAGGGTGGACAGGAAGAGTTGGATTGGAGAGGAATGGGGGCTTGAACGAATAGGGGAGACAGGATCAGGAGACAGGAGGAGAGGATCAACGATCGCAGCGGCCAAATGACAATGCAATTTAATTGCAGTGAGTTGTCACGCGCAGGGGCCCGACATCGCATAGTGCAAAGTTGCAGAGCGCTGATCGCCTTCGCATTGTCGGAGACTGCGTTGTGCGCAATATTATGCTGGAGCGTGATTCATATTGGTTTCGTTTGGTTGGAAACGTTCTTCACTTTGTTTCGCGTTCCGCTGCTTTTGCCCTAGCCCGGAGCCTCAGGTGGTCGAGTCGAGTCGAGGTTCATGGTCCTGAGTCGAGGCTCATGGACTCATGCGCCTCCTCCTCTCCCTACTACTCCATCTCCTGGTCCTTCCTGCTCGCCCTCCCTCCTCTTCTTCGCCATCCTCATCCGATTATCCTCGACGGCGCGTCGCTTCCAGCGGCGCGTTGCGCAACCGCCTCGAGGGCCCGGGGCCCGGAGTCCCTGGCCCTGGAGAGAGAGACAGAGAGAGAGAGCGAGAGAGAGAGAGAGTTCAAAGGAGGAGGCGGGGGAGGCACATGCATGCCACCTGGCACCACCGGGTCACCACCGCCTGCCATCTGTCCGTGGGCACTCGCGGGGATATGCCCCATACTGGTGGGGCGGCGGGCGGTTCAGCCCCACTTGGGGGCCCCGCATTCGCGGGGCAGCGGTTCGGGGGAGGAGGAGTCGGGGGATTCAACGAGAGAGAGAGAGAGTGTGTGTGTATATGTATATATATATATATAATATATATATATATATATATATATAGTCCGCGCGACACGGGCTGAGAAGGGGTTCAAGGGACCAACGGCTATGCGGCCCACTGAGTGGGCCGCTGATCCTCGCCAAGGACCGGCCGCCACCCAGCGCCGTTCAGAAGCTTTGCCATGGTGGTGGAGGCTTTCATCGTCCTGGCCTTCCTGAGCGGCCTATTGCTTGGCCACCTCACCAGCCGCTTCGCGGTGGGAAGGGGCGTCGCGACTGCGCCGACGTCATCGTCGTCGGAGCCGGAGCCTCTATCGGGGAGTCCTACGCGTTCGTCGAAGCGAGGCAAACCGTGCGGTACATGCTCAAAGTTCGAGACGCAGTGGGGGGCGCACTTGCGCGCGACCTCGCCGACATCCAGCAACAGTACGACCCCCGAGGCGACTCCACCGAGTCCGAAGCGTACACTGTGGCACGTCCCGGGGAGCGCGGTGTATCATACGAAGAAGTGCGGTTACATCAAGAAGTCTGAGAACGTGAGGAGTTTGGACCTGTGCCAGACGTGCGCGAGGAAGGACCGATAGCCGCTAGTGTCCAGCCTGCAATTCAATTAACACGGGGTGCTCTAGCCGCCTGAGTCACTCAGGCGGCCACCCGAGTCAATCCCTACTGCGCATCTGCTATAGCCTCCACCTTATCCCCCTCAGCGCGGGCTTACCTGCGCCCACGGCGGGCTTGCGGCAAGCGCTTGTGCAGTGCCTTTTGTTTGATTCAAAGTGACGTAGCCCAAAATGCGCCATAATGAGAGGGCCGCATGTGCCGCAGGTGGCATCTCTGTTGCTGCTTCCCTGTTGCTTCCCTGTTGCTTTTTCCATTTCCTTTCGTACCAGGCACCATGCCATGCAGTCAGGAGACGCTCACGGGTACGCTCAGCGTTTAGGGGGCTTTGGACGACGACCATAAGACACCAAACGAATATGAGGAGGGGGAGTGGGAGGAGGAGGAGGAGGACGACGACGACACAGGTCCCAGGTGATTTCAAGTACTTATCATATCGCTGCAGTGTTTCAAGGGGTGCTGGGGGTCCTAGGAGGATCTAGATTCTAGGTCCTAGGAGGAAACCGAGGAGGCTCTAAGACTCTAAGACCCTAAGAGGCGCCCAAGACGCACACCACAGGGATCTAGGACGAAAAACAAGCGGGACGAGAGAGGAGGGGATCCAACCCGTAGTTCTCACCATAGAGTCCGATAGAACCCCTGAAGAGTTTAGACCGCTCTGCACCACCAGCCTCTCCCCGTTGATTGAATTTGAGCGTCTGATGGTTGAAGTATCGGAATCATTTGTGCAGTTGTATGCCCTCCGCAACAATTGACACTCGGGCTAGCCAAACGTGACTACCCTCAGTGTGTGACACTCATCGAACGAACTACTGCTTTGTGAGCCTACTCGGACTTAACAGCATGGCTGCCCCGTCGACCCCCGCTCCCTGCATCAGCATCATCACTGATGGGCCGCGCATGTGTTGCTCGTGCGGCGTCAAGAGCGACAAGCCCGGCCAGGGTTGGGCCAAGTACGCGGTGATCAACAAAGGGAAGGAGTCTGAGCGCCGTGAGCCTATTGAAGATCTTTGTGACATTTGCCCGCTCGGGGTGGTACATGGCCAGTTCGACTTCGCGTCCAAGTCTGGCTTGGAGTCTGCGGCCCGCTCAAACCCTAGCGTTGGCGCTAGGGTCTACGCGGCCGGCCTGGCGGCCAAGGACAAGGGCCTCGGCAAGCAGACGTTCCAGATGCAGAGCGCCGAGGAAGTGACCAGCACGACCGCCGAGCTCGTCCAATCGGGCAAGCTAATGGACAAAGATCAGTTCTCAACCCAGTTCGGCTTCGACCCGGAGACCAAGGACATCAAAGAGAGCAGCATCGAGGGCCGTTGCGGGACCAAAGCGGGCTATTGCGTCGAGGACGTCGAGGCTGGGTGCCAGATCCGCTTCAGCACGACGTTTCAGGTCAGTGGGGCGGCCACCATTGTGCCGCCAGAGCGCCAGGTTCGTGAGAACCAAGGTATGGACGTCTTCAAGCGCGGCGCTTTCAAGGTGGTCGGGACCCAGGGCATGCAGGTCACGCCGTACTCCGCCGCCGACCTGGATACTATCAAGCGGGAGGTCCTTGCCGAGCAGGACCGCGCGATGCAGGACCTCGCAGCGGCCAGCGCCCAGGCCGGGGCCCAGGGGGGTCTGGGGCAAAGGGAGGGAGGGAATCGAAGAAGGGATGAGGGAGCAGGAAGGAGGAGCTGGGAGGAGGGAGGAGGGAAGAGGTGGAGTGATCCAGTGGAGTGCGAGATCCATGGGTCCATGACCCATGGAGCTCAGACTGGGCTCCAACCTCCATCACCTCCTCCCTTCTCCTCCTCCTCGTCCTCCCCTGCCTCCGTCCTCCTCCTCATCCTCCTTTCCTATCCTCTCGCCCTCCTCCTCCTCCTCCTCCTCCTCCTCCTCCTCGTGTTACCTGTTGTTCCTCCCTCGGTCCTACCTCCTCCTTCCTACCTCCGCCGACCTCTCTTACCTTCTGCTACTCCTCCCTCATCTTTCTGTTGCATTTGCTGTGTTGCATTTGCTCCTCCATCCTCCCTGCTGCTGCCGCTTCTTCTTATTATCCTCTCCCCCGTCGTTCCTCCCCCCCTCCAGGCCCCCGGTGGATCCGCCATGACCGACGAGGAGCCTATGGAGGTTGAAACCATGGAGGTGATGCTCGCCGACGAAAACGAGGACGAGGCCGCGGCGCCCCCCAGCAAGGGCTCGGGCGGCCGTGGCCGCAAGGGGAAAGGTCGTGGGGACACCAGCGCCGGCAGGGCCAGGGGAAAGGGGGACAGCGGCGGCAGGGGTCAACGACGGCGCCTGTCCGACGCGTCTTCCGCTTGCGGCAGCGCCGCCGCCACGCCCGCCACGCCGAGTCCAGCATCGAAGATGGCCCGATCCTCGTATTCTGAGAAGGTCCCGAGACCCGGCGGTGGCGGTGGCCAGCTTCCGAAGGGGCAGACCTACATCAACAAGGTCGCCGACATCCATAGCATCTTGGATGGCAGCTACACCCCCAACATGGACTTGTACCAGCTGCGACGGCTGATGAACTCGCTGACTGGCGAGGATGGCAGGGTCTCCGACCCTGGACTCTTCCAGCAGATGAAGTCAGCATCGGAGCTCGCGGCGCACGCCAAGGAGATGGCGCCCACCAGGCTCATGCTGCTGGACGACGCGACGCTCAAGGTCAGCCTCAAAGCGCTGAAGTCCAGAGGAGTGATACTGCAGCTGGTGACCAAGAAGGGCTTGTGGCATCGCCAGGTCGTCGCGGCCGTCAAGGACCTGAACTTCCAGAAGCTCAGTCAGCTGTTCCTCGGCTCCCCCAGCGGCTCCAGCGACGAGGCGAGGGCTTGCCGAAATGAGCAGGAGGATCCGAAGAGTCAGATGAGGAGCAAGATGGGGCTGGGGCCCGGGGACAGGAGGGAGGTTACGACGACGACGACGACCGACGGCCCTCTCCGCGGCGGGAGCACGAGCCCCAGAGAGGCAGGGGGCCGAGGCGGCAGGGTACCCTCCACTTCACTTCCTCCACTCCGCCTTCACTTTCTCCAGCCTCCGCCCACCCACCATCCACTCACCACCCACCACCCACCCACCAGTGGTGCGTGGGCCGCGTGGGTGGTGGGTGGTGGGCAGGTGGTGGGTGGTCGGTGGTGGGTGGGTTTTGGGTGGGTGGTCGGTTGTTGGTGGGTTGGTGGTGGGTGGTGGGTGGGTGGTGGGTGGTGGGTGGTGGGTGGCGTGGTGGGATGGGTGGTGGGTGGTGGGTGGTGTGTGGTGTGGCCAACCCCCCGCGACCCACCCACCACCCACCGACCACCACCACCCACCCAACACCCACCACCACACGACCACCCACCCACCACCCACCCACCCACCCACCTACCACCCACTGATTGGGGAATATTGCATACCTCACTCTAGGCGGACGCCGACCCTTCCTACTGTACGTGGCCTACCTTGATGTCAGAGATCGAGATCCAGGACCGCGTCGAGTGTCTCTCGTACGTCATCGTCGACCTCGTACTCTTGCCAGTGGTGGTAGCGGGCAGCATGCAGGGCTACACCCAGAAGGTGCTGCAATGCTGCAAGGTCGTCCTGGATATTCTCACGAACAACCAGGAGGGGGATCTTCTCCTCGAACCCTCCTCCTACTCAGTCCTACTCTACTCCTCCATCCCCTACATTGACTCTACATTCCCGCCCGCACCTGCTCCGCTAGGAGCTCGTCCAGATCAAGACGTGCTGCAGAGGCGTGGCTGCCATCCTCGACCCGCTGCCAGGTGCCTGCGGATCTGAGCCGGCGGACGTCGAGTTCGTCTGGGCTGAGGAGGAGGAGGGGGGCCACCACGACGACCCTTCCGAGCACCAGAAGCGCATGACACTGCTTCGCAAAGCGATCACCGGGGAGGCGACCATCAAGGCTCTCTATGCTCAGTGGGAGGCCTCTCTCTTGTTACCCGACCAGACCGGCGAGGTGGCCAACCTCAGGACAGCCGTGGACGCTCTCAAGGGTGACACCGCCGACGCAAACAAGTTCCGAGATGTCTTCAAGTTGATGCCTAAGTTGCAGATGAACCTCCGCGATGGGGCCCTGCAGGACATCGAGACTGAGGTCATGTCCTGCGTGGCGGAGCGCGTCAAGGATATCCAGGGCATTGACCAGATGGAAGGTGACCGCCAGGCGCGCTGCTTAGCAGAATTCTACCCCGACGCTAACGCATGCATGATTGGGTGCAAGCCTGGTGCCTTCAAGACTTCTCTGAAGAAGGAGTTGGGCGTGCTCGCGCCATTGCAGGCGGCCTCGCAGTCCCTTCAAATGGTCGTTGCTCTCGACAACGCGTGCAAGAGTATTGAAGAAGGCCCTGGGGGTGGAGTCATCCTGGCGGATTCGGTCGATGAGCAGGGCCGCATCAACGATGACTGGGCCAAACTCTTTGAGGCCAGGAAGGCTTGCCACGGCCAGAAGATCCCACCGCTTGCTGGCGACGACGACCAGAGGAACATTTCGATCAGAGCCTTCTACCGCCGTATTTGGGATATCATCCAGAGCCAACCATTCAGCGAGTGGCACGGCCTCGACGCTTGTCGGATCAATCTCGTCAAGGACATCGGCGACATGCTTCCTCAAGAAGAGCGTGCCAATGGCTCCGACATTGCTTTCCAGATGGCCATCCGCATCGTCGAGATCCACTCCATCATGGTATTCCTGGGGATGTGCGAGCCAGATGCCAAGAGCCAGGAGGTCTGCGCCCGGGGGCCCGAGTATAGTAGTACCAGGACGTTCCAAATGCGTTTCTGACGGGGCGGGGCAAGATTCTGACCGAGGGCCCTCAGAGCCTCAGGGCCTCAGGAGGGGAGGGGGACGGATAAGGCGAGGGTCGGGCCAGCGAGTGGGGCCCCTGCCTCCCTTGGGCCCCGGGGCCGCCGTCGTCATCGAGAATCGCGGCTGATCGATTTCACCCCGCACTTAGGTCGACAAGCTCACGCGCACCCTCGCGCTGGCGCCCATCAAGGCCCCCGCTGAGGACGACGCAGAAACGATCCGCATGCTTGGGAGTCTGACTGATGGCCTACGTCAGGTGAAGCAGGGCGCCAACGACCTCCGCGTTCGCCTCATCTGCGAGTTCTTAGCCGCGGCTGCAACTGACATCGAGATGATCCAGGCGAAGCTCACGAAGAACGCTTACGGCGGCAAGAACGGTCATTCATGGAAGCAGCCGTTGAACGCCAATTCGCCCATCGCCGAGGTCCGCGAGGCGGGGGGCAAGCATCTCTTAAAGTTAAACGGCCAGGATATGATCGACGACTGGAAGAAGGGACTGGAAGTCGTCAGGGCGGCCCAGAAGCTGGTGGCGAAGTACAGGGACGTCGATGGCGTGAAGGAGTCTAGGGCGTTGAAGGGTACCGACGAGGCGATCAGGCAGTGTTTCGTTGTGGTGAGGGTCGCCAGGGTCACGATCACGGAGGCGCAGCTGCTTAACTGCGAGGGTGATCCTTCGAAGGAGGATGCCAAGAAATGGGTGAAGCTCCTGGCGTCTTGCGGCGCAGATCCCTCATACGCGATGTTGCAGAAGGTGCTCCAGGCCCAGGCCTGAACCTGCAATGCAGGCGATGCGTTCACGATGCTCTTTTTTTGCTCGCTTCTTGATGCTCAGGTTGATCACTTGAGTCACTTGAGGCCGTGGTGGCGGCGATGAATGAGCCAATGTCGGCTCCGCTCTCTCTGAGTCAGACTCTGAGGCTCAGATCTTAAGTTTCTTTTCGACAGGGCGAGCGGGTCAGGGCTGAGGCTCAGGCCCGATAGTGAGGAGAGGAGGGTCCTTCTGGACCCCGTAGGTTCGCTAGCCCCGATCGGAACACCGCCACCCGGCCTCGGCACCGAAGCCTCCAGGACCTAGGAAGGACGAGGACGAGGAGGATGAGGAAGAGGACGCGGAGGAAGGAGGAACCAGCCAGTAAGCCAGTAAGTCAGAATCTGTTGGACGGTGGAGCCCGCGCGCCCTGCAGCTCAGCAGATGTTTCTGCAGGCAGTCTGGTCAGGAGCATGTCAGTTTATTTGCCTGGGCCCAGGAGCCCCCCGTCACTTGGCCCTTCCTCACCCTCCTCTCGCCATCTTCCTGGTCCTACCTGCTCTTTCCCCTCCTCCTCCATCCACCGTCCGATGTGAAGCTCAGTGCGACTCATACTTCTCCTGCTAGATCGTACTTTTCCTTCAGCTCCCTCCTCCCACTCCTTCCAACCATCTTCCCTCCTCATCCTCCTCCCAGTGCCTAGGTCCTGGGTCCTAGGACCCGAGCCCTCTCTCCTCCTCCGCCTCCTCCTCCCGGCCCTCCCCCTCCTGAATCTTCCTTCCCCTCCTCCTCCTTGATGCCACGGGCCCCAGGCTTAGTGCTTAGTGCGAGCGAGCATCCAGAGTCTGCGTGATTTTCGCGTTGAGTATTTTTGTCCAGCCTCCTATTCTGCCATCCCCCTGCCCTATAGGGGCCCTATGTCGCTCCTCTCCATTCTCTGTTCCATCCCGCCCCCCGATGGTGCTGGATTTTTGCTACTGCTCTGCAGCCTCGGGCCCCGGCCCCGAGAGGAGCAGTTGATTTGGTTCTCGAGTTGGGAGTGATGGCAGTTTGGGAGGGGGGGAGCAGCTGGCCAGCTGGGTACATGGTTTGGCTACTGCTCTGTGGTAACATCGAGGATGGATTTGGGTGGAGGAGAACCACGGAATTTTGACAGCCAGGAGAGAGCGGGCAGTGAATGAAAAGCTCCACGCCTGGCAGCCAGGCAGTTGCTGGCTACAGTACTATATTCTAACGTGTGCGCGCCTGCACGGTCACCAACGTAAAATGATGTCCGCTTGTAGTAGCTGCTCCTTCCTACCTCCCTCCTACTGCTGCCGCTGAGACTCTCTGTCTTCTCATCTCATACCTCTCTTTCCGACACCTTTCCAGGCTCGAACCGCAGGTGTGCCAGGTGTGCGCCCCCCGCCGCACGCGACGCGCCAAGCCGAGCACCACCCGTCCCTCCTGCGAGGTTGACGGGTGTATGCCATCCCGCGATGACAGGGCGAGCAGCGGCCTTCGGTCGCGCTCCCCTCGGCGTCCTCCTCGGCTCCAGCTTCGTGGCTCTCTTAGGGCTCTTCGCTCTCTTCAGCTCGCGGAATCGGCTATCGCAATACATCGCTCCCGGCTGGGGACGGACGACCCCGCAGCTATCGGAATCGACCCTTTCCTCCACCAGGCCTACGGCGTCCACGATGCCGCTGGCCGCCTCCAAGCCCTTCAACATGCCGAACACGTCGAGCGACGCGCTCGTGTCGAGGCAGGGCCCTGCCCTACGCACTTCCAGCGGTACATGGACCACATGGGTCAGGCGGTGGCGTTGGCCGCAGACCTGGTTTCCGCAAGGGCCGACTTCCTGCGGTTCACAGGCCAGCACATCATCTTTGCCAGGGACGCTCTTGGGGACCTGGTCCGCGATGGCCCACGCGTCGTTCCGCCGCCTCAAGATCCCAGTCCTAGCGTCACTCCGTGGCCTCAAGAACCTAGGTACGTTCGAACCCAGGACTGCACGACCATCCTGCGCGCCTTCATGGACGCCCTTGGCATCGACCAGCCAGAAGTCGGGGATCCACCTCTTTCGGAAGAACGCGTTCGAGAAGCTGGATGATTTGAGGCAGGCGGCAGAGGCAGCATGCGAGACAGCACCCAGGCTTGGCAGTGATCAGCACAGGCCCGACGGGCCCATGCAGCACGACTTCATCTACTCCGAGGGCCTCTACAACCGGCCCGCGTTGCTCTCGTGCGACGCGGAGGGCCTGGCTAGTCAGCCAGGCACGGCCACCACGCGCTGGTCCTCCAGCCCCCCGTGGGCGGCTGCTGGAGGGCCTGCTGGTGCGCGCCGTCAAGTACGCCAGCTCCGCGCCGTGAGCCGGCAAGCTCTTTTCGCATCCAGCTTTGCTTTCTATGCCCGCTTGCTTGCAGTCTTTATTGTATTCGGGTATCACAAGTCACTGCGGGTTTCTAAGGGACAGCCTAGGTCTCGCTCGCCGCACCAGCGTCGTGGCAGCTCGGACCGCGATGCTCGCAGGCCCGATCGCAGCAGGCGGTCTCGTGATGGCCCTTCGGACGACTCTGACGGCGACCTGCCTGCTGATGAGTCAGGTCGCACAACTCAGCCCAGTTTAGAATTTGGTCACAGCACGCTCTTCGTTTGCGCCCCGCAGCGGTCCCTCCAGTGGTTCACTATACAGATCCCACGGCGAGGGCTCCGCGTCTGCGACGTCATAGACTGCGTTCGTAGGGATCACTTCCCAGACCTGCGCGACAAACAAGCAGGACTCTTTGCCTTCGTGGCGCCGCCGCCTGGCTGCGTCGGCCCCGCTACAGGACCTCCTGCCAGCATGCGCTTGCCCAATCACCTTCGCATCTGTGCAGGGCCGAAGTTGAGCGATCGATTATTTTCTCTCTGGATCGGGTTTCCCGAGCCATCTCGCATGATGGAGGGAGCCGCTGAGTTCCTCTGTCGCTCAAGCGCTCCAGCTGCGCCAGCGGGCCCAGTGCGCGCTCCAGATGCGCCAGGGCCAGGGCCGCCAGGGCCAGGGCCGCCAGCAGGCCCAGTGCAGCACCCGTCCTCCGGCGCAGCAGGCCCAGTGCAGCACCCGTCCTCCAGCGCAGCAGGCCCAGTGCAGCACCCGCCCTCCAGGGACTCCAGTGCGCCTAACTCCCATGCCTCATGGGCCGACGTTTTCCCAGGCTCTGTTTCTGGGGCCACCGCCAAAAGCAGGGGCTCTCCGCCGCCTTTAAAGTCTTCTCCGCGTTTGCCGCTCATACTGCCACCTTTACCCTTGGCCCCCTTGGCACCCTTAATTAACTTAAGTCCCCCAGTGGCTGCCACAGTGGCTTCGGCCCCAGTCTTCTCGGGTCATACGGGCCACGCCGCGCACTTTAATTCTCTGCCACAGTTTGCTTGTGAGCCCCCAGCCTCAGGGCCGCCGCCAAGTCAGCAGCCGCCGCCAGAGTCTGCAGAGTCTGCAGTGCCAGAGGAGTCAGGCAGCTCGTCACGCGCGTCTTCTGCCCCGCGCGAGGGCCGCAGGTCAGCCAGGTCACCCAGCCCAGTCAGGACAGTCAGAGTCAAGGGCAGCGGCCAGAGCGGCCAGAGAGATCGAAGTTATCACGTCGCCCGTGCCGAGTATCACCTAGCCATGTGCCACGGGCCTGGCAGCGATCAGTCGAGCCTCCGCCACCGCGAGGATCCCAGGCAAGATCCCCCGCCCAAGGAGGCAAGTGGAGACAGGGCCCGCAAGTCGCCAGGAGGCTCCCAAGATGACTGGAGGAAGCACGAGGCGCAGATGGCGCCCAGGGCCAGGGCGGCCAGGACTGAGGAGCCTCGGGAGCGTCGCCGCGAGCGAGACCGAAGGCGGCCCTCACCCCCTGCGCGGCACGTTTCTCGAGGCGCGGCTCGAGAGCGTCGAAGGGGGCCTTACCGCCTCGTCTCGGTCAGCCGTTGCTCGTCGCAGCCTGCCGCTAGGTCTAGGTCTAGGCGCTCGAGGCGCGACGCGTCTCCCCGCGAAGCTCGCCGCCCTGCTGCAGCTGAACGTTCGGCCAGCCGCCCGCTTCTCCGGCGCAGACGCCACCCCCCGACCGACGACAGTGCTGCCGCACAGCCCGAGGAAGAGGCGCCCAAGTCAGCTCCTCAGGAGTCGCCGCCGCAGCCCCTGAAGGCTGAGCCTGAGAAGACCCGTCCTGTTATGCCGCCGCCCGCAACTGTGGAGCCGCCAAAATGCGCGACGTGCCACCAACGACGTTGGCCAGTATCTAGGAGCAACAGTTGCAAATACCATTGCAGCGAGTGCAAGCCTTCCATGCCGACTTGCAGCGACTGTCATAACACCACGTGGGATGGAGTGTGGCGCGGCAGGCGCTTTCTCGCGGCAGGCGTAGGTTTCATGTGCACGGGTTGCTGGATCGCCGATACCATCAGTGACCAGGAGCAGGAATTGTGGCTCAAATGGTGCGCGAAGCGCGCCGAGCAGTATCCTGACGTCTTCGCTGATCCGATGACATTTCTCGAGGAGACGCATCCTTCAGGGACTGCGACTCCTAAGTAGCGCGCCAGCAGCTTCGCCATGCCATGCCCAGTTCGGCGCCCGGGGCCCAGTGTTGCCAGCAGTGTGGCGCCCAGCGATTCCATCAGCGCTCAGCGATGCCAGCAGCGCCGTTTTGGCGCCCAGCAGTTCGTCGGCCCGGGGCCGCAGGTGTGGGCAGCGCCGTAGGGCTTAAGGCTTAGACGACGGACGACGACGACGACGACGACGGACGACGACGACGACGACGGTGACGACGACGACGACGACGACGACGACGACGACGACGACGACGACGACGACGACGGACGACGACGGCGACGAGACGACGACGACGCTGCATCCAGAATCTGGAACCTGTCCGCGGTCCTTCCGAGTGCAGGCAGCCACTATCACTACCAGACAGTGCA